ATACATTTAATATATGTAAACTGCATAATGGTAATCGTGCATAAGTGACCTTAGAAAATCTATCACTCCAGTAGGTACCTCGTGGAAGTCGTAAGACGCTATTATGGGAAATGCCAAAAAGATCTTATATCTAAGTATATCTATATTAAAATATCTTCCGATAGACGACAGTGTGATGTACTCGTAGTAGTCCACATCCCATACGAAATTTGTATTTAGTAATAAAATTAGTACAATTAATAATGACTAATGGCACCTCTAACTTTAATAATGCAACTCTGCCAAGTGGTTGCTGCGGCCATTGTGTTATACAACACTAGACGAGCAAACCACATTACCGCGCGTCGAAAGTGTAACCACTATCCAATCGCGACGACGTAGCTTTGAAACTAATAACAATTTTAAATAAACATATATCTATCTCACTTACACAAGATGCGAAAACAATATCGTTGCTAAGATTAGATAAAGATAGACACACAAACATGCAATGGCGGGTTGGTGTGGCTTACTATATGAAATTTTACCTAAAATACGCAATAAAAATGAGTTTTTTTAAGCTGCAGTTAATTGTTTTTATATTAAAAAAGTATATTTTATTTTAAAATTTTTATTGCGTCCCCTTAGAAAAAAAGATACAAAGCTTATCAGATGAATAGAAGTAAACATAATGATGAAATAAAACGTATTTTTATATGGTACTAATAAATCAAACAATATAAAATATAATTAATTAGGTAAAATTTATATGAAATTATAAATAATAATAATTTATTAATGTAAAATAGGTAATAAAATATATTAATGATAATTCATGAATAAAGTAAAATAAGTATTAAGTTTTGTAAGGTAGTTTTTATTATAATTTCCAAAAAATTTAAAATCAGAGATAACAAATTAACTTACTCCATTAATTATAAAGTCTCCCATTAATGTAGGATAATCACAAATGCGGAAAAGTAGCAACATTGAACCTAAATATTCGGTAATTTTATTTAATTATTTGAGGTTTTTTACGTTTATATGAAAACAAGAATTAAAAATTATGTGTTGAAAGTGTTTCCGCTTGAGTTACTACGTTTATGTGTTCTTTCACTACGCATTTACCCATTTTTTGTCGCGGCTCAACTCTGTCGGCGTTACAATGAACACTGAGCTGACGTTAACTAGGCATATGGCTGTGGCCATATGTGCAGTGGCAACGCTTTGGCGCGGTTATTTCTGATCTAGTGATATATAAATTAATGGTTGCGGCCCATAAACATCTACATTCAATCAAAATGCAGATGCGTTGTCATCCGAGAGAACTACGATGGAATGTGCCTCATTTCCAGTTAAAAGGATCTCCGGTTTGTTTTTTTGTTTGTAAAGGTTTTTTTTGTGTAATTAAAATCATAGAAGAAGCAATACGTCTCTTATTACAAAATATCTTTTATTGCACCTTTAGCATTACAACAATACAAGAAAACATCTTGTTTACGTTAGGCATTAAATATCCTGATCGGTGACGGAGAGCGGCGTCAAAGGTACGCAATGTCTGGTATTGCCGTCGACAATCCTCGAGACATGCATGATAATGAGGGATATAAAAACAATAATCTTCCGTTAACTAGATGTCGCCAGTTGCCACTGACGAGAAGTTTTTTTTGTTACACAACGTCATTTGATTGGGAAATTAGTTTTAAATAAAAGTTTATCAGTTTCTATACTGTTTTAATAATAAACAAAACAATGCATCAGTGATTTGTTCTTTAATTTTGTTGCAAATTTTTCTCTTTTAATTTTTTCTACTTTTATGAATTCTTTGGTTTACTTTATTTATTTTTGATCTAATTAATATAAATTATAAAGTAGTACAGTAAGAAAAGTTAACCTATACATTTTCCGAACAAATTAACTTTCCGCTATGAGTTCTGTCAAATATTAGTATTACAGCTTATTTTTAAGTGGCGCCGTCCTGATGGCTGCCCTCATAGGTATTATATCTCTATGGCCCTCATCCTTCTTACTACAGGACGTGGAGGTTAGAGAAAAGAAGAACGATAGCTATAGAAAATATTGTCCCAGAAATATGGACAAAATAAGTGAGGCGCTGCGATCGCTAAGTTGTCTCAATAATTTTATTTATATAAATTTAAATTTTTACAAATATAAATTATTAACCATTATTGATTTATTATTATTATTTATAATGTTTCACCATTTTTAGTGTTTCTTTTTGTCAAAAATTACTTCACAGATACTACATACCGACGCCAGCGCGGCTATAAATTCTACAAATTTTCAGGGACAGGCGGGCTATGCTTTAGCACGTAGCGATCGTTCTCCTGTTCTCTAAACCTCCATGTTGCAGGACCTTCCGACGTGTAGTTGTGAACTTTTATGTTTTGACGATGAGGAAGGGGCCTACCCCATTGTAGCCAAAAGGCAATTTTTTTAAAAGAGGATTTTAGAATAAAGAAGAGTTACCGCTCTACCCTAATGTGTGTGTTTTTTTACGAGTAAGTGTGACAAGCTTACAAGCAAGCACAATCTCCATCTGATGGTAAACTAATGCTGAGACTAATAAACACCTACATTTACCCTCGAGTAAGAATTAAAAATGCAGATGCATTGTTGTTACCCCTGAGGTCTAAGATGAAATGCCTTGTAATAGTTGTGTTACCAGTAAAAAAGGTCTCCGGTCCTCGTCGTTCACCAAACAAAACACAACAAAATACGCGTTTATATAAAATTTATACGTAGTAGGTAGCCATGCTGCAGTTATAATAGCAGTTGTACGAATGGTACAGTCAGGTGGTGTGTGCTAGTTTGTCACCCTTATCTGATTAAAAAAATTAGCCTGTAGAGAAACTGTACAAATTAGCTAAATTATTTTTCTTCAATTGAATATTCATGCAACAAAATATTATGGTTTGGACAAAATTTCTAAAATCACATGTTGTATATTTATTGCCAGTATAAATTAATTTTGGAACCTCATGTCGAGTAAATGATGAAATGATATATATTTTTCGCACAGACAGAATCTTCTTCGACCATTTTTTGTAGACTATACCAATCATTTATGTAGCAATACTGGCAATACCTAGCTTTCTTTCACCGTTTTTAAAAATAACATCGTTTATGTAAATAAATGTAATAATATAAAAATGTAACAGTGACATCTGTGTGAATTATGCGAAGTTGTGTTTATGTAAATAAATGTACCATAAAAATGTAAAAGCGACATCTGTGAGAATTATACGAAATTGTTTCCGCAAAAACTTTGTGCGTCTAGATACGATTCCTTTTAAATGTTTAACTTGATCAACATATATCGTATAGATGGCGCTTGATAAAAACAAGCGATAAATGACACGTTGTTTTAAAATGTTGCTACGAAAAGAAATCTGGTATATTATGATGTCAGTACCCGGATGACCGAGCTTAGCTCGGTTTTTTTTTTGAAATTACATTTATAAATTACATACCGATGAAACATAAATAATATTTTTGATCTTATTGACAGAATAGAAAAAACTGAACTGGTTATTTGAATAAAAAATCACGAGTGCAATTAGTTTAATTAAAATTTTCGTATTTTTAAAAAATACTAAAAAAAGGGCTTGAAATAACAGATTTTCTCACAAAAGAAGGGAACTTGAAAAAATAAGGAAAAAAGCCCAACCAGAGACAACAGGACGCGAACCACAAAACTCCGATATTACACCCGACCGACATCCCACCTGAGCTATTACGATCGTTAGTGATATGTTAAAATTTACCTTCTTATATAATAGCAGTTTTTTATTGCCTGAAAACACGGACAAAAGGACATTTTCTAAAAATAAATCCTAGCTAGATCGATTTATTGCCCCCGAAACTCCCCTGGACACTAAATTTTATGAAAATCGTTGGAGCCGCTTCCGAGATGCCGATTATATACAGGATGTTAGTGTAAACACCGTTGTCCTTGAAACCAGTGGTTTGGTTTCACTTATAGAACGTAAATTCAATGAATTAAAAAAACGCTATTTTCTTTCATAAAATTTAAAAAGTTTCTGTCCGACACCGTCCGTAAATTCATGGATACCCTATGAGCCCGAGTGACGTAATCACTGTAAAGATCACCGCCCGCGTTAGCTACTTACACTACATTCCAATAAAAACACAATAGGTACACATAACTTGTGATGTAACTTTTCCTTCATATTTTTATCCTGGCTTAGGACAGGGAAAAATTGAGGAATTAAGGAAAAATTGAGATTTTACTAAAAAAAATGTTATTTTTCATTGAATTACGTTTTATAAGTGAAACCAAACCACCGGTTTCAAGGATAACGGTGTTTACACTAACACCCTGTATATATATATACAAGAATTGCTCGTTTAAAGGTATAGGATAAGTCACAACTGTGTAGTAGCGGTGAAAAATACCTACTACCCCATATCATCCCGTGAGTGTCATAAGACGAAGGGAAACTGAACCAGGAAAGAAGCAGCGGCATTTTCCTGATAACAGATTACTAAAAATAATTAACTGTGGTTACGAACCCGCTTGCCAAGCATGGCAACTGTGGCAAATATGATCCTCTCCCATGACGCAATCTATGGAGGAGGCGTATGTTCAGTAGGGTACTTTCTGCTTTCGATAGACTGGAATGGTACGGTAATGTTATCTGTTATCATAATTGACTAGACGATGAATAAACTATAACGAAAAGGTGTAATTTTATTCTGTCTACCTAAGTTAAATAGTTTATCAAAATTGAAAGTATATTATTAAATAGCAATGTTTATAGAAAATTAGGATATTTACAGCGGCCTGCATCTGCGTCCATTTTCACCCAAGGTTGATCCTTGATTACTTTTTAATGATTTCATTTTATTTCGCAAAATTCTTTAAAGATGATGTAAATCAAGTTACAAAATAAGATTTTTGGAGGCAGGATTTGCATTTGGCGTGTTTGTGCAGGGCGTGAAAATAATGTCAGTGTTTTAAAATAATACGCGTCTGGATGCAACCGACTGCAACATCTCAAATTAAAAAAGAAGACTTCCGTACTACAGAAATACAACAAGAAGTAAACAAGTGGTAAAATTTAAAAATATCATACAACCGACTTCGTTATAAATAAAATGAGAACAACATCAATGTAGTCGAAGTCAATTAAATACGCATTATTAAGGATAACTCAAAAACTACTGGTCAGATCTTGATCAAATTTATGTAGAACCACATGAGAAGGATCAGCTTTCAAATAAAAAAGAATTAAAATTGGTTCAACCAGGAAAATGTTCTGAAGTAACGCACATAAAGAAACATTTAGTCGAATTGAGTTCCTCCTCTTCTTAAGGGTTCCGTAGCCAAATGGCAAAAAACTGTCTGTCTGTCTGTCTGTATGTGACAGCCACTTTTTTCCGAAACTATAAGAACTATGCTGTTGAAACTTGGCGAGTAGATGTATTCTGTGAACCGCATTAAGATTTTTACACAAAATAGAATAAAAGCAATAAATTTTGGGGATTCCCTATACTGAAAACTGAAACTCAAAATTTTTTTTAACCAAACCCATACGTGTGCGGTATCTATGGATAGGTCTTCATAAATGACATTGAGGTTCCTAATATCATTTTTTATAACTGAATAGTTTGCGCGAGAGACACTTCCAAAGTGTTAAAATGTGTGCCTCCCCCCTGTAACTTCTAAAATAAGAGAATGATAAAACTAAAAAAAATATATGATGTTACCATGTAAACTTCCACCGAAAATTGGTTTGAACGAGATCTAGTTAGTTGTTTTTAATACGTCATAAATCGTAAAAAATACACTATTAATAAAATATCACTCGAAATTACAACGAACTACAAGAACTTTTATATTATGTTACTTGCTGCTACGTAACCCTTCATGGGCGAGTCCGACTCGCACTTGGCCGTTTTTTATTTGAAGTCGGTTAACAAACGTAAATTAATCCCTTTTTAAATATAATTACCAACTCAATTGTTTGATACTAATAATCATGTTAGTAACTTTAAAGACTCAACATTTAACCTGCAATACGGGTAAACTAATGACGAAGAAGTTTTAATACCAATTTTGTTAATCGACACTAGAAACTTTTAATTCGCTGAACAATTTTGACTTTAACTTGCTCATAATTTTCTTTGTAAGAGTCGTGGTACTTAGAGGGTAAGCCCTAAAGTCAGTCAAATATTTTTTAATAAAAATCAGCTTTTACAAAGCAATTTTTGAAATTAAATTGCTACGCCATCGCTTCAATAAGTCTCTTCGCTTTTAAAACGAAGCGGCAGAAAAGTACAAGTACAATATTTTCCTCCCAACAGTTACAAACTGTCCTTATAAAACACTAGCTGTTCCCGCGGCTTCGCCCGCGTATAATTCAGGTTTTTTTTGCGCGGAACCCTATTTATTGTTTTAAAATGATAGTAGCTTATAACACTCCTCATAACATCAGCTAGCTGCAAGTGAAAGTCCCGTCAAAATTGGTACAGCCCACAGAAATCTAAATTTTAGATTTCTGTGGTACAGCCATTAAGGAGATTAGCCGGAACAAACAGACAAAAAATTTAAAAATTGTGTTTTTGTTATTGATACTTTCAGGTGAATTTAGTAAAAAGCTGTAACTTAGACGTTACAAAGAGACCCTTCAATTTTATTTATTTGTATAGGTATACATACGAAAAGTTTTAAGGAACCTCATTCTGTCCACTCATTCTTATCTTATAATGATCTTATTTATAATACCTCTATGTATATACCTTGTAATCAATATATTATATACCTTGCTCCATATGAGTGTTTTTTTTTGTATGCGTTTCGAATTCATATTAAAGCAAATCAATACTACAAGGAATCTTGTTATAAATAATTATACGTCTATCCAAAAATACTTTGGAAAATGATGTTTAGATTTATTGCGCGTGCTAAAATTATAGGTCACTTTCATACTAATAGACTAATTTTATCAAAGGTATTGTGATACAGCAGTTCATATATTTATTTCCCTAAAAAGGTACATATATTACAGTAAGTACATATATACATTTTCAGTATTATTTGCTACACACTGTTGAAATACTTGAAATAAACTGATCTGTATCCATAGCTGTTGCCACAGCTTTATATTTTTTATTTCATACACAGCGGAAATAAGTCTTCTTGGCAGGGCCTCAATATGAAGTCCCCATTATAAACGAAAGTCAATTGTAATAAAAAGAAAGACTGTTAAAATTAACCCCTCAGCTCCTATGCAGTCGAATCCGACCGCGGCGCTACTCCGTCAAAATTTAAGCGGTCGAATTCGACCGCGCACACCCACAGCTTTTTAAACTATTAAAACTTATATTTAAAGACTACTTTTCTATGAAGAAGTTTGACATTATATGTAGAATCAATTTTCTATCCTCTAGTGCAATAAAAAGTCAAGTTATCTTATGAATAATTATTTATAATCTACATTAATTTCGTACGACATTTTCGCGTGAATGTTATTGTGTTGATTTTTGGATTTTTCTAGTGTTTTATTAGTGTTTTAGTATAGTATTTTTTTTTATAAAATTGTAATGAAAGTTCTTGTGTGAATATAATTTATCTTTTTACGTAAATAATTTCGAGTAATATAATATATTGAAATAATTGTGATTTTCACGCTGCTGACATTCGCTTGGTATGTTTAGTTTTTGTTATCAAAATACAATAGTCTTTTTGTAATGAACCTGACTTTTATATAGAGAATTTTTTACAGATTTTATAATGCCAAACTTCTTCATAGAGAAGTCTCTAAATATAACTTTTGATGGTTTTAAGTGCGGGTGGGTGCGGTTGCATGCGACCGCTCGGGATTTGCCAGGCGCATGCGACTGCATCGGATTTTTATGGGGATCGAAGGGTTAAAGGTTAAAGTTACAGTCTTTTTACTTCCCCTTCCCACTCTTGGGCACAGGCCTCCTTTCATTTCTGAGAGGGTTTTAGGGTAAGAAAATGTCCGCCGCGCTGCCCCAATGCGATTTGGCGAACTTCACATCTCTTCGAAATATATTTTTTCTTATTTTTCAGAAACTAAAAAAAATCTTGAAAAGTGGTAGAGTCAAGCTGCAACTATATTACTGGTATAGTTGTTGCGTGAATGGATCGCCTCGACCAGCGAAGGACCACGCTCTCACAGAATACCAGCGTAAAATAGCAGCTCAATGCTGCTGTGTTTCGTATGGTGAGTTTAGAGAACCGGAAACAATTTTTCTGGGAACGAGGCATTCCATCTTAGTCCACACGGGTTGCATTTTGAATCGTAATTGAGGACACATGTAGACTTCTATGGACCACAGCAACCATTTACCATCAGGTGGACTATGTGCTCGTTTGTCATCCTTATCCTAAACAAAAAGACATGCAGGTTTTCTTAAGATGCTTCCCTTCCCTTCCCTTAAAATTGCAATTAACAATTACATTGGTGCCGGCGGGAACTGAACCCGAGATACTCGAGGTGAAATTTACAGCGGCGCTAACCATCTAAACTACCACTAACCATCTGAGCTACCACTGTTCTCAAAGAAAGACTGTGGAGTCTACTAATTGAAGTATTTTATCGTTCAACTTAATATTGGTAGAAACACGCCTTACATTTGGCAAAGAAAATTTATTGCAGTTCATTTTATCGGCATTTAAAAGCAAGTCACTTCTTGTAAACCAGTGCTTGAGATCAGTATAGCATACTTTGCATCGTCAAACACGCTCATCAGCAGGTATAATTATAAGTAAGAAGTAACATTAGCAAACAAAACTGTTTTACATAAGTTTTTTAGTGTAGAAGAAATTCCCCTGCACCAATGACATTGCTAATTGCAATTAAGTGTTGATTTATCATATGCTCAACGGTTAAAGAAAATATTATGAGGAAACGGGAAGAAATAAGAAAAATCGAACACATATAAAGTCTGCTAACGTGCATTGTACCCCAATGATTCAAGACGATTTTTTTTTTCTGAAAGCGAAAGTTGTTGGCCCTGCGGCCTTTAGAGCTTGACCAGAAAAGACTCTCAAGTCGTCGTGGGGATTTTACTCTGTGTTGAGAGTGGTGTTGTATTTTTTTTTGGGTCATGATAGCATCAAAAAGGTTTTGGGACGTCTCCTCCTGGGGTCTTTGCATCAATATCTAGGGAGTATGCACCTCTGTCACTAATGGGTTTGGATAATCCTTAATCATATTGAAGTATCTTATCTTTAATTAATTCATTAAGACGACACATCGAAAAAGTGGCTCCAGGCTATCGCCGTACTAATCCGAGTGAATACATAATTTCTATAAAAATTTGAAAAAACGTTGTCATAAGGTTTAATTGTCAGAATCTTTATATATCATATATATATATATATATATATATATATATATATATATATATATATATATATATATATATAAAGAGTTACAAAGCAAATTTATATGGCAGATGAAGAGTCGGGAAGGGACGCCCTAGAAAAAAGTTTATCGACCAAATTGGCGATATTTTGAAAATGGGCCACGTTAGAAGTACCCTTAACCGACGAGCATGTATGCGTAGATATATGGATGTAAAGGAGGCGAAAGACGTATGTCAGGATCGTGCCAAATGGAAGTCCGTAGTCCCTCTGGGTGACAGGCGTGAGTGTTTATGTTATATATATAAGCGACAGTAGCTTAATGGCAGGGCGCGGACCGCGAACTCAAAAAGGTCGTGGGTTCGAATCCGTCGTTCGACTACTGGCGTGAACCACTTGTAACACAAGCAATTTAAGCTTATCATGAGTGGTTAAGGGGAATATTAGTAATGTTTATAGCATTGTTAATATTCTTTTAAAAAAAATTATTAATTTAAGTAATCAAAATAACGAGCAAGTAAATTATGAATATTGATGTTATTAATATTATATTTGAGTGATTCCCAAGCATATAGATTAAGTAATTTCGTTGTAATTTCAACTATAGTGATTTTTTAGAGATGTTTTCGCAAATAATTATGATCGTGTCAAAATTATACATTCGTGTTTTTTAACAATCAAATTCAAGTTAAAGACATGAATTTACCTATATCAAAATTCCACTTTCCTTAGTGGTAGGGTAAGTACAGGAACATCGGCGCATAAGTACCGAAAACTATTCTACATGCAACATGCATTTATATTATCAGTAGGACAATTTGAATGCCATGCCATGGGGAAACTCGGTGCCATATTGTTTAAACCAATTCATTTTTTTTAATAGCAAGGAATTGTTATTTTCAAACGCGACCACTTTTTTACATTCTTTGATGTAATACAAATAAAAAGGTCCGATGACTTTTAACATCGCGGGTTCGAAACTCGATAGGAACATCTATTTAAATGGCCTACAAATATTTTTTCGGGTGTAAAATCATTATACGAAATAAGTTTCTAGTCTTGGAGTTATTTTAAAAAAAAATTAATGACTTAAAAATGAATGATTTTTTCCCCAGTCCATTGTTACTTACCAAGCATCAGCTAAACATCTTTGACCTGCTGAACAAGTATGGTTAGCGCTCATCAGCTGTTTCAAGTGACATATGCTTTTGGTAAGATCAAATGTCTGTAAAAGTCGTTTAACGTGTCCAAATATCAAATAGGTACCTAGTATTAACTTAATTTATTTTTTATCACTTTCCTATCTTTCTATTCCTATCAAATTAAAAATGTCAAATACGACTTTCGCTTAAACTTAACTTAAGTTGTCAGGTTAATCGCAATTGCTAAGAAAATTACAGGCCAGGGCTGTGATTATTTATATGGCGCATGTGGTTGCAATATTACTTATTACTTATTTATACTTTTGAACGTGGGAGAGCCACGCTAGAGCTTTATTATAGTTGTGTCACGAATGTGTCGGCTCAACCGGAGAAGGACCTCGCTCTCGCAGAATACCAGCGTAAAATAGCAGCTTAATGTTGCTGTTTTTCGTATGGTGAGTATTGAGTTTTTACTGGAAGCAAGCCATTACATGTTAGCCCTCAATGGTGACGACGCATTTTGTTTCTTAACCGAAGACAGATTGATATGTCTAGGGGCTACAGCATCCTCTTACTATCAGGAAGACTGTAAGCTCTATTGTTAGCCTTATTCTATATAAAAAACAAAGTATTGTTCCATTGAGTCAAGGCAGGAACACGACGTGGTGTAACAAGGCAGCTGTTTGATTGTCATCTCAGTATATTGGCATTGCCGTCACTCTTCGTGGTCTCCTCTACCAGGTCGTCACTCTATCCAGTGGGGGTCGCCTTACATTTCGCTTACTTGTGCTAGGCTGTCGCTCGACAATATTTCTACCCTATGGGTTATCGGTTCTTCGAGCTATATGAGCGATCCACTACCACTTCAACTAATTATTCTACTCGATAACACGCGAAAATAATCCTCGAGCACAGTATTTCCTTCACCGTAGCTCATTTTGCGCCATAACTGATGACTTCATACGGCAAGCAGTGAATGACCACGTCGCAATTCCGTAAGCCATCATAACACGCCCTCTTTTTCATTTTTATTGTCAAGATTTTGAAGAATTGGATTCATCGAAAAGTACTATTTACTTCAAACTAATTCGATAATAAAATCTGAAAATAAATCCATTCATAATGCTGAATGCATCTAAAACATTTGATTCTCTGATTTATATTTATAGCAAACATTTATTTGTGCACTGCCATATAGTCGCAGCAAAAATTGGATCAAATCACATATTGCAACAACGTGCAAATAATTTGGCAGTCACTATGCCCACCTGTGTGAAAAGATCTAAAAGTCTAAGGCTTATCACTTAACTAGGACAAAGCACAGCGTGCTTGCATTTGCTCTCAAGGACACTGCCATTGAAATAAAACTTAACTGGAAGCTCGAAGCTGTTTCAATATCATAAAATATTTTTAAACTTTATATAGAATGATGGATTACTATATAAAATTACTTATACAATTGTGGTTTTACGTAAAACGCCTGCACAGTAGAGAGAGCAAAAATTAAAGGTAAAGTTTTTATAAAAAAATTAAAAAAATTATATTAATGTTCTACTGTATTTAAAAACAATATGAAGACTTTCTCGTACACTATTAGTCTAGAAATAGAAAGGAATCTGTGTTTTAACCCACGATATTTAACTTAACTAATATTCTCTTTTATTGTGTACCTACATTCTAGAACTGAAAGGAAATAAGACGAATTGTATAAAAAAGAAAATCTTGCTATATTAAAAATTTTAAAAGACTGATGTACAGTAGTTTCGTGGTCCGTGAACTACACTGTCTGCAGCATTACGTAAGAAATATCAGGCATAAGTAGTATATTACTACAGGTCATGAGTGTACCAGGCGTAGTGTGTAGTGTACAGGGCGTATAGCCCATAGGTAATATACAGATCTAAGACGTGGTCTTCACTGTTGACTGTATGAATAAGGTCAAAAGCATGCTATGGAAAGGGCTATGTTCGGAGTTACCATGCATGATAGTAGAAACGTAGTAACCGACATAGCCACAAGCTGAAATGGCAATAAACATGCGATAACTCAAAGAAGGATTACTGATGGACGAAAAAGGCAGAGAATTTTTTTGAAATTTGGAGAATATGTGAACTCCGCCAACATTTGCACCTTGCCCTAAAACTCTCTTAGAATTTAGTGGAGACCTGAACTTAACCATGGAAGCGGTTTTTTGGCTTTGTTTACATAATATACCAAAACAAATTTATAACAAATTACCATAGCACTATTCCTTACTCTTTTCTGTGTAGTTCTGCTTTATCACCGGTGACTTTACCTCGGCTGCTGGGCAATCATTAGGTACGTTTCGAAGAACATCTGTGACATGCCCTAGAAATTTAAAGTGGAGAAACACAAAATAATGAATTGCATACAAAAGTATTTCAGGGATATAATTATCGAGATTTTTTAATAACATTGAGTGTCAAACGAACACACAGTCCACCTGATGGTGAGTGGATGCAGTGGCCCATGGACATTCACATTTATCCTCACTTAAGAATCAAAATGCTAATGCGTTGTCACCCTCAGGGGTGACTGTCCTCAGGGACTAAGAAGGAATGCCTCGACTCCGGTAAAAAGAGTCTCCGGCTCTCTACTCTCACCATACAAAACACAGCAGCAATACGTTGCTATGTTACTCTGATAATCTGTGAGAGCGTGGTCCTGCCCCGGTTGAGCCGGCCCATTCGTGCTACAACTATAATATAGCAGCAGCGTGGCTCTACCACGTTAAACACGTGTATTTAGAATAGTCCATTTACTTTTCTCGTAATCTGTTGAATAAGACGAAATTGTAGAGCGGTCACATCCAGTCGCGGTCAGTTCGTAGATCGCAGACAGTGCGTGAGCGCAGTTCCACGGTGCGCCGCCACTCTACCAACAATCGTCGGAGCCGCAACATGCTCACCCAACTACACTGTCTATTTGTAAGTTTACTTTCGTATCCATTAATTGACATTGCTCTGTACTAACATTAATGTCGTTAAAATCCTAACATTTTATCTTCTTTACACATTGATCATATATACATTGATCTGTACTTAAAATTAATGTCATTAAAATCCTAACATTTTATCTTCTTTATCATTAACATTAAAGTTATGTTGTTTGATTAAGAGTGCGCATTTGTTATTATGTAACACGCTTTTACGATATAAACTATGATTGGTTATTTATTGTTTATTAGCTGACTTCGAAAAATGATGAGGTTCTCAATTCTAATGTTTGTGTATGTATGTTACGCTATATATTCGTCGATTGTAAACTCATTTTAATGATTACTTATTTTATTAAATAGGTTACACTTTAGAGGGTGGTCCTATGGTATATTCTCCACAGTTACGGTGGGAAAATATGAGATAAGTATTTAATGTTAGTTATATGTGTCGTCTAGTTGTTACCTTAAAAGCCCTTGATATTTCTCAAAGCAGGGTCCACTTAAAAGGGTAATTTTTTTAAAAATTTTTAATGTAACGTAAAACCTAGATTAAATTTTGTCTACACACCTGCACAGAGTCCCGAATGAGAAATTATTTTAATTTCTTTTTAGCTTTATGAAGTCGGCTTTGACTTTTTATTAAATATCAAAGTTTATATATATTTAGTATTGTAAGCAAGTAATTAATAGATGACTATGGAGCTTTGAGTATATGGAGCAATGAATAACCCTATCATAAATAAGAGGAGACCTGGACCTGTACACTGTGCATATATTTAAAAGAAAGCAGTGGGACGTGTATAGGTTGTAAGTTTACTATGGTCACCCGGTGGGTGCATTATGACTTTAAGTACAATTTATCTAATGCACCCACCGTGGGTGATCCCCACACTTTTTTCATTATTTAGTAAAGCTGTTTTCTCTTTTAAATTTCACCAGCCGCGTAAATAGTCTTGAAACCTTCAATGTCCCCAAATAAAAGGATGAATTTTGATTTTTTGCAACTATAACAATTTACCAAACTTTTTATTTAATTTCCTAATTGTTTGCATGTAAGTAAAAATCAATAAAAATTTTAACGCCAACGAATTATTTATAGCTTCCTTCTATGCCGAAACCGGTCGAACACAACGGTTCATTTACCTTCAATTATTATGCCATTTGGTACGAAAAATGGACGAGAAATACAATATGAAAATTGTTCTATCATGATGCACCTGTTGTTAAATTGAAAAAATATATTTCGTTTGTTTATATCACAGTAAAGGATCATCATCAAAAATAGTAAATTGTAACTGTATGTGATTTTCCACAACATGTTACGAATCAATGAAGCATTGCAAAGATACCGGCCATTGTTGTAGTTTTTTTTTACTTACAGAATTCGTTTGATAGATTTCGAAATAAATTAAATTAAGTTCAATTAACTATAGTCAAATTTACTATGTAAAGTCAAAATATTTAAAAACTCTTTGTAAAATCTTAAATAATTACTGAAAATGTATAAAAGTTGACATCACGGTAACCTTAGTTTCCTTAAAAGCGATTAATTTATGTAAAATTTAGGTAGTAAACAAGTCTTTACAAAGAGTTCAAGTAATGTTTAAAGATCCTATATTCGGTTTGTTTGCATTAATTTTGATGTTCTAAAAACGCTTACAATACTTGGCGGCGACAATCAAAAACATGTATAATTATGGAATTATACGTGTCTTTGATTGTCGCCGCAACATGGGTTGTGTGAGAACAATAGATACTCGAAAAATAGATTTATGCAGTTCCTTACATCACAAACGCTTAATGTAATTGCAAATTCATAGTCCTGATACATCATGTGGGATAGTGGTGTGGTTTAGCACACATATTAAGCGGTCAACACGCAGTACACTATAAATCAAGAACTCTCTTTACTGAGACCTTACACCTGAGTGAAGAGCATTCACTAGCTCAAACATTGCGAGCACTCAGACTGTACGAGTACCCTCTGTGTAGAAAACAAATGACGATCGTGCTGTAGGTCATCGTGCCGAAATGAATGCCGCATACATCAATACACTAAACGCCACAAAGCCTTATCATATACTAATGTCTTTAATAACATGTATTTAGACCTATAAAGATCTAAATACTATTTATTATTATAATTTATATAATTGTATCGTCTGTTTAATAAGGCTGTCCAATACGCTTACAAAGTTTTGTTGAAATCGTTTTAAAAAATAAATTAGTATATTTCTATAGCTATACGAATAATGGAAATATTTGGTCTTATAGTCTGTTTGTGCAGTAACAACGTTTGCATTGCCTTTTACACTGCAATTTGGCCTTAACCTTACCTTCGATCTTACCGCATAAGTTTCACATTATGACCGAGTAAGTATGGATAATTAAGTGAATCACACAGTAAGTGTATTCATCTCTCCTGTGATAGTATTCAGAAATCGTCGCCGTGGTTGAAACTGATGGTCAGTTACTTAACAATCATATAAACTATATTTAAGTACAGTAAGAAGTTAAAAGCATATCGTTTATGACGACCTTATCGCATCATCAATTAAACCTACTTCTGACAAAATTCGGGGTTTATTTATAGTCAAAACACTTCAGAAATAGTTAATTTATTATTGTACGTTATGGATTTATGGATTTAACTCTGTCACCCGTATTTTTGTTCCATCAAAATAATCGCCTTATTAAAAACGTTTTTCCATTAAATTAAAAAAAAGTTAAGCTTAAAAATTATATTCAACACATCACTATAGCTACCTACTAACTTTCCCTAGTAAACAAATATATATGTTTTATTAAGAACGTTCAAAAGATCCGGAGACCCTTTTTTATAGGAAACTAGGCATTCCCTCTTAGTCTTTAGAGTTGACTACGCATGTGCCTTTTGATTCTTAATCGAGGATAAATGTAGAGATGTCTATGGGCCACAGCATCCACTTACCATCAGGTGGCCTTTGTGCTCGTTTGTCATCCAAATTCTATAAAAAAAGTGACGATAATTCATGTTATATCAAAATTTTTGTAAGCTCATCGTATAAAATACTTTATGTTGTAACAATTTCGCAAAGTTTAGTGTAGTCACATGAGTAAATCCTTTCTCCTTACTGTGTGGTTTAGTTATAGACTTATTATGCTAGGTCGACGATCCTCGTGTTGCTCAGAATGCACAATGATGTGCAGTTCGTTGCAAATAGTATCTGTAACATGGATCGTTCCATCACTCCGTCTTTTGAGAAAAACATAGAAACAAATGTTCAATCAAACGGAAAGTCGAATTGATCAATGTCGAATAGTTAAAATAGCTTTGGCCAATATTTCAAAACACGCCGTTACATAATCTCGCATCAATTTTTAGAATATTATATGTGTATTTATATAATTTTTGCGACAAGAAGATATTGCAATAGGTCCGAGAGTTGAATTTTCAATATATCTCCGAGTTTTAAGATGGTAACGACGGCAGCTTAATCATACTTACACCCACTGGTGATTATCAGTCATTGCGACCCTTCACAAGTCCATTATTAAACATGAGTCTCCTCCACGGCTCCATGGCGCAGTGGCTTAACAATGAGTTTCTGCGCTAGGGGCCGCAGGTTCGAATCCTGGACGGAACAAGTAGTTGTAAGGCCTACAAATAATTGTTCCAGATCTGGATGTTTGTCTTTGTGAAATTTATGTTTGCGAACTGCCTCCACAATACAGAAGAAACTCCTAGTGTTTTTAATGGGTAACGTCTTTTAAAAAAAATAGGACCTTCAATTTTATGGGCATCAAAGTACACATCCATAGGTTGCCACAAAGCAAGTCCAGAGCCAACTGCATCCATCGACTCCCTGGCCAACACTAGCTTTGCCTGAATAAAACTGCCACCCCGTCCTGCTCTCACTACACCATCTTAAAATAGTAACATAATAACGTGATAGAGCCTCGCGGTAGCTGTATTATGATTACATCACGAATGGGTCGACTCAACCGGGGATCACGCTCTCACAGAATAATAGCATGAAATAGCAGCTTTATGCTGTTGTGTTTGCGTATAGGTGATTGAGAATCGGAGACCCTTATTACCCTTACGGGTTACTACTTCAATTACATTTTGATTCTTAGTGAAAGATAGATGTAGGTGTCCACGGGACACAGCATCCACTTTAGGTGAAATGTGTGCTCGTTTGTTACCATTTTTCTATAAAAAACAGTGATTCCTTGTTATAGACTCTTTTTGCTGTTAACGCGGCATTTCATCTTAATCCAGAAGGGTCGCATCTGAATCCGAAACAACACAACACTGCGTGAGATCTTTATTTTTATATAGACTTTTCCTTACTATTAATATAAAGTACCAGATACACTGCTATCTTTTTCAAAAATGAAAAAAAAAGGTTCTATTTATATTAATGTTCTTGTGAAGACAGTTTCATTGTCACTTATTTAGTTTCGATGACTATGATGATTTAAATTTCTTCATCTATAGTTATCTTACTTCCATTGCATGCACTACATAAGTAATCAAGTTGTAAATAAATATCAATGTATAGGGAAAGCTACCTCAAGTAGTTCTGTATTCGGATACCTTCAAGCTTTCACTTAAACTTTATTGCTCTTAATCTATCTCATATTTACTATTTAATCGATTCCATATTAGAGATTGGTATCGATATTAATGCTTATTCGATGGTCTTAGTTTTGAATAACAACCGAAATCAAAATTAGTAGAACATAGTGATTTATAATTTTGAATTGCGTAATATTGTTATATACGTATTCTTCTGGTTGAAGTAGTATGATATTTATGTAACGCAACCTCCTTAACTACTTCCCATCTTAGCACTTAAGTGCTTTATAGGTACTCGTAAGGTCACCTGAGGCAAGTGTGACATAAATTAATTAAAACTATAATCGACATTTAAATACTTCTCTCTGTAAGGATTGTATGTATAGCGAACTGTAATTTCATAACTAATTATTAAGTAATTCTTT